TTGAAAAATAATTCACTTTATTCCTTTTCATGGTTCCGGCGAATCGCTGTTTTTTTTTAATGAGAGCATAAGCAATAAATTTGCAAGAAAAAAAATTTAGACGAAATTAAGAATTTAGTTCAAAATCGTAAATTCAAAAATATTAATGTTGAAAAGATGAAAACTGTGATTACCATGTTAATTGTTATTTGTTTCTTAAAGTTGCAAAAAAAAATTACATTGAAGAAAATAAAATTGATGGGAGGGAAATTTAATTGTTGGACAAACCACCTAGCAAAATTTTGCTCCATCGGCTTCAGAATTCAGAAGTCAAACTTATTTATAGTTTTATGGTTTTAAAATTATTTAAAGCAGTCGGAACAACGCGTTTGTTGGTTAACTGAAAATTCAGCGCTCGAATCGAATTGCTAAAAAATGGGCAATTGAAAGAAAATCGGCGTTGGAATTTCTCTGCGCTCAATTTGGAACCAGAAAAATGCGGCATCCTCCGCAGGCAGAAGCGCGAGAGGGGCCACATTTTGCCTGTAGCTCGGCGAACCAAATTAAATGAGCCTGGCGCGCGTTGAATAAAATTAGAAACGTGGTTTTTCCCTACCTTGGGGTCACGGCGATGGTCCCTGGTCCATTTGGGGTCCTCGGCAGGTCGGCGAAGTCCTCCGTCGGCTCAAATTCGGCGAGATTCGGGCGAGAGGCGACTTTTGTTATCACTGCACACGATGCACTGCACTTCCCCTCCATCCTGCTGGCTGTGGCTGCTGCTGCTTCTTGGTGCTCGAAGACGAGAGCGAACAAGTCAGGACGGGAATGAGAATTGTATGTGTAATGAGAGGCAGGCAGAACAATGAAAATGACATCGAGTGAGTCGATTGGAAAAATACCATTACGACACGTTTAAAAATAATCTTCATGTTCGCAGCATTAATAGGAGATTAAATGGCGCAGCGTTATATTTTTTTTAAAACATACCATTTTTTAAATATTCAAGCATTTACTAGATTTTTTTTAAAATGAATGAAAAAATTTATACAAAAAAAAAAACAGTTTGAAATGAAGTCAATTAAATTAACTTTCCTTTTTGTTGCCTCAGAATTTTCTTAATTTTCCTTTTCAGGACTCGAATTCAAAATTTAATATTTTATGGATGAAAACAATATTTTGAATTTTTTTTCTTCTTAGATTGCAGATTACCATTAGCTTGGAAATTTATTTTTCACACCCAGTAAAAAAATTGTTGAACAAGGGGTTAGTCACGAGAGAATTTTCTCTTCTAAGAAATAAATGCTGATTGACAGAACAACTAGCAATTGAATTAATTTTTTTTAAATTGGTCGACGGCTAGTTAGTATTATTGTTTATTTGTTCACATTGTTACAAATACATTGTTTGCATCCAGTTTTTGAAAAAAAATTATATCTTTTGATGAAATATTATGTCTCACATTTAAATTGAATGGTAATCTTGAAGAAATCCTCAAAAATGATTTCAACAAAAAATTATGAATTTTGAATTTTTGTTCCGTAAAACAAAACAAAAAGAATGATAATTTCATTGGATGTAAGCTTTTGTAAAATTTTCTTTTCAAATATTAAAAAAAAGCGCTGCATGATGCTAAATGATATATCTCAGCTCCAAAATTGATTTGTTTATAAAATAAAAAATAAAACATCACGCCATTTCATCACCTATCAATGCCGCAAATACGAAAATTATTTGTTAACACGTTATTAATCTGCGCGCGATGTCAATAATTTCATTTATCTGTCTGCCTCTCGCGACACGCACGTCTCTCATCCCCGTCCAGACTTGTTCGCTCTCGTCTTCGAGCACCGAGAAGCAGCAGCAGCCACCACAGCCGGCAGGAAGGCGGGGAAAGTGCAGTGCATCGTGTCCAGTGATAACAAAAGTCGCCTCTCGCCCGAATCTCGCCGAATTTGAGCCGAAGGAGGACTTCGCCGACCTGCCGAGGACCCCAAACGGACCAGGGACCATCGCCGTGACCCCAAGGTAGGGTAAAACCACGTTTTTATTAAACGCGCGCCAGGCTAATTCATTTGGTTCGCCGAGCTACAGGCAAAATGTGGCCCCTCTCGCGCTTCTGCCTGCGGAGGTTGCCGAGTTCGGAGACTGCGTTTCTCTAATTCAAAATTGAGTGGGTCAAAAGTGCAGAGAAAATCCAACGCCAATTTTTTTAATTGCCATTCGAGTCAAAGCCGATGCGTGCTCCGAATTTTTGGTTACCCGGCATTCCCGGCAAAAATGTTGTTCAAACTGCTTAATTAAATGCGTTAAACCCATAAAAAATTATTTGACTTTAGGTGCTCTAAACTTCGAAGTTAAAAATTATTTATTTAAATTTTTTTTTAATTTATTATTCTTAATTATTTTTTAATTTGATCAAACTTATATGAAATTCCCATAATATACCAACTTTCAATTACAAGTTAACAGCCCTCAACAATTATGTTAATTAATTGAATTTTTTTTAACAAATTTAGCTCACACAAATAAAACGAGCAACTCACGCCTGCGTTTGAAAAAGTGGCGAATGAAAATTTTTAATGTGGGTGCGAATTTGCAAACTGCTGTGCACGAGAGCCCCGTTATCTGCAGGCTGGGCAAAAAACGTCCCCTGCTCGTATCACACATCACGCTCGACAGCGGCAGGAGGCATGATGTGTGTTAAATATAAAGAAAAATTGAAAATACGCGATGGTGCTGCATAAAGGGTTGCGTGCCGAAAGGGTGGCTGTTTGTTAAAGTCGGCGCATTAGGCGGCCATTATCGCATGCCAGCTTGCCCTTTATCCTGCTACTTAACGCAGCAGTCACGATTTTTCTCTCCCTTTCCGTGCACATATGCAAAGCAAGGGCCTAACCAGGTGCCAAGGTGTGCCCTAATAGGATAATTACACACCGCCGACAAACCAACACACACCACACCAGGGGTGCTTGCCACTGTGCAGTAAATAATCCCTCGCCGCGAACGGTGCAGCCGATTTGCATCTAATGAAGTGGAGCCCACCTGCGTCGTGGTTTCATGATTTGCATTTTGCTTGCTCAGCCAAATGCTCAATCGCACCGTGAACTTCGATTAGCCGCTCAATCAGGCGAAAAATTGGTGCGACATTAATTATATCAGAAGCAGAGGCAATTAAATAAGTAAAAAAATAAATTAATAAATAATATAAATAGGGAAATTACAAATTATTAAATTTAAACTGTTTAAAAAAAATAAATATTTATTAAAAATTGTATTAATTTTTTTAGCTTTAAAACAAAAATTCCAACAGTTTTTTATGTGATGTAACAATTTAGACAAATAAACAACAATAATAATTTAATTTCAATTAAATTTTAAACTTTTATTAACGATACGGTATATGAAATATTTTACTATTTGAAAGCCTTCAAAATATTTGCATTGTTATTTTTTTGTTTATTTTTGTCAAATTGTTACATCCAATTGTTTGCATTCATAACTTCTGAAAACAATTTGTTTGCATTCGTAACTTCTGAAAACAATTTGTTTGCATTCGTAACTTCTGAAAACAATTTGTTTGAGAAAAAATTTCTTGCAGAGGGTGGGAAACTTTTTGACTAGGCGCGGATGTCTATTTTATTGAATTCTTTGTGTTGGGCAGGCAAAGACTGAAAAATTGGTTTTATTTCGTTTCCACAAGTAATTTTCTGCCTCGTTCTTGTTCCAAGTAAGAATAGTCTTGCAACTTGAAATTAACAACTCAAAAATTTAAACGAAAAGTCAAATTATTAACTATTTGACCAACGTTTAAAATTTTGGTTATCACACATTTAATTGTTAAGGAGCAAAACATTTATGATAATACAAAGCTATTTTATTTAAATTTTCTGAAATGTTTCCCTCCTAAACAATATTAAAAGCAAGTAAATATTACTCTTAAATTTCATTTCTAAAAGAACAAATTAATTACGCGGGCAAAAAACATCAACGTTTAAATTCGTGGACACGTGTGGGAAAATTTACGGCAGCGGAATCAAACATAATAACGGGGTAGGGAGCAAAAGCGGCCAAGTGACAGTTGCTGTTACGCTATTTGCATGCAACGCTTCGGCCGCACGCACAAAACAACAACCCCCGCCCTGATGTTAATCGCCACCCCATCTGCAGATGCCGGACGGGTTTTAATAACTCGCCGCGCCGGGATCAGTGAACATTCGCATGCGGGAAATTATACACATCGCTCTCGATTTTCTGCAGCGCCGACTCATTAAATGACTTGCAAAGTGACCAGCCGAGCGCGCCCTTTGGTGACAGATGCACACGAAGGGGTTGAAAATTATTGATTCATTATGCGCTGGCTCTGAGCAGTGGCAGTGGCCATTTTAAGTGCAAACACAATGTTTTACTAATATATTAAATTAATTGTTGAAAAATTATTCAACAGAAAAGTGTAAAATTAATGCAGAATGTGTACAAATTAATTACTTATATTTATTTATTTGTTTGAAGAAGTTGACACTCAAGGAGATGATCATTTCCATTTATTTATTCTTCATTCAATACGGAAATTCAATACGGAAGTATCGGACTATTATTATTATTTCTAATCGTTACAAAAATTTATTATATTGTTCAAAAATAATATTGAGTTGAAAAGTTTCAAAAATGAATTGCTGGATGAAACCACCATTAGCTCAAATTTTGTTGAAACATCCAAAATTCCAGCCTCGGTTAATTTCCTTTTTTTTTAGAATTTTATCTTGAAATAGTGTCGGTCCATTATAACTTCACTATTATAATGCAATTGATTGGAAACAACGGGTTTTCTTTACCAGTTTTTTTTTTCTAATTTTAATTTGTGAAATTAGCTGAATTTACTCCTATAAAAAAAATATTGAGCTTTTTTTTAATTGTTAAGGAGCCCAATTGTTGTGGCTTGGTTGAAACGCCATTTTCGCATACTATTTTGTGTTTGTTGGAGGCTGATTGTTAGGACTGAATTTGCTGAAAACGGTTGCAAGATGTTCAAAAACAAGTTCCAGAACGACTTCCTCTCCATTCTGTACAGCCTCGGCAGCAAACCGCTGCAGATTTGGGACAAAAACGTGCGCAACGGCCACATCGAGCGCATCACGGACGACGACCTGCACTCGTTGGTGCTGGAAGTGGTCGGCGCCAACGTCAACACCTGCTTCATCACGTGTCCCGCCGACCCCGGCCAGAGTCTGGCCATCCGCCTGCCCATCCTGGTCATGACCGTCAAGAACATGAAGAAGTACTTCTCGTTCGAAGTTCAGGTGTTGGACGACAAGAACATCCGGCGGCGCTTCCGCTCCAGCAACTACCAGTCGACCACCAAGGTGAAGCCGTTCATCTGCACGATGCCGATGCGGCTGGACGACGGCTGGAACCAGATCCAGTTCAATCTGGCCGACTTCACGAGACGCGCCTACGGCACCAACTACGTCGAGACCCAGCGCGTCCAGATCCACGCCAACTGCCGCATCCGCAGGGTCTACTTTTCGGACCGACTCTACTCGGACGACGAGTTGCCGACCGAGTTCAAAATCTCCCTGCCAAAGAAGTGAGCTCGCGAGACACTGGCCGAATTTTATTACAAAGAAAAGTGCAATATAGATCAATTGCGTTGCTACTTATTTAAAGAACCATTTAAAAAAAATCCAAATAAATACTTCCTAATAAAAAGTAGAAATGTGTTTCTAAAGATGAATTTAAAAATAGTTGCATCACAGTATTATTTGTATCATATTCAATTATTTTTAGAGCATCAAATTAAATAATTAATCGTATAATGTAAATCGCAAGTAACATTTTAAGAACAATTAAATAACCAAATATTCCATTATTTAATAAAAAAATAACTAATTTATATTTATTCAATCAGCTTTTTCTCTCCGCGAATGTCACGTAAGAAGCATCAGGCAGCTGGTGAGAAATTAAAATTATACAGCCGTGCAAAGAGACGGACACTGAACCACCAGCAGGGGGGCATTTTTATGCTAATTTGAGGACCCAGACTTCGATAATAAATAAATTCGCTTTTGCTTCGCGCAGCCGACACAACATTATATTATTTACCTTCTTGTATCTTATTAAATGAAGATCATCGGAGAGGCGCGGACCCTCCTCTTTTTGTGCTGTAATCAGTTTCGACAGTTATTACTTACACGCACTACACTGAGCTATGAATAATTTTTTGCTTGGGCCTGCAGACGTAACAAGACTGTTTATAATTTTTTCCTTTTCCTCAAAATTTTGATGCTGGTAACGCCCATATGGGAAATGTCTGTAAATTTTAAAGTCTTTTAAGTTAAAAATGAATATATTTTTTTTCTTATTTATCAGAACTCACAACTGGTATAATAATCCAGAGCTTACATTAGGTTGCAAAAAAAAGTTTATTTAAAGTATTTTAACATAAAATCAAGACATTCAGCTCAACGAAAATCTTTAGAAAATTGCTACGTTTTTTGAAATGAAATGTTGTGCCGCAGAAAAAAAATTGAATTATATAATATATAACCTCTCTGGAAATTGTTTCTTCCCTTTAAATAATTCATTTTAGCTTTTTACGCAGGAGTCTTGAAATTTGTAAGAATAAAGCCTTTTTTTTTAAATCTGCAATAAAAATGCCACACATATATATTTTTTCCTGTTTTTAAAATTGAAAAAAAAAACTTTTCAAAGCGGTTCCTCACTTCTATCTAGCTTACATGTTGAAATTGCCTAAAAAATTTGAATTCGTGAATGATTAGATCAAAAAACCAATCAATCACTCTTTGCCGCCCATATCGGCGCTCTCTCCACTTTTTTTTTGTTTTGCCATTCGCAGGCTCCCATGCATGCAAAACACAGCATCCGACCAGCTGCCGTTGGCCCCGATAGGCGCGATGATCATCGGAGGCAAATTAAATTAGGCGCTGGGGAAAAAACGAGTTTGCAAATTACGGTCTTATTGGCAAAAACAACGCGGACGTGATCAGGCAGGTCGATTTCAGGTGATCACTCGCTGATGATTGTGCCGCGTCAATGTACGGGCGGCTTGATTATTTGCACAGAGCAAACAAACGCCGCACCTAATTATGTGCTTTTCACTCTTTCAGCCCCTGGCCAACTCTGGACAGGACGCGGGCCTTGTTGTTTTCCAATTAAAAATAATTAGCCCGCAAATCACACGCGCCGCACGATATACGCTCCGCAGATTGCTTAATTGAATTTCCATGCTCGACTGCGCCAGGTTAGAAAATTGCGCTAATTTAAACGCCTTTATACATTTCGCACCGCCTTTTGAGCTTGTTTGCAGACTTGCAAAAAATTTGCTTCGATATATCAACAGAATATCTAAAATAGTAATGGAATTTCCAGAACTGGATCATTAATGGAAATTAAAAAATCAAATGAATAAATTCATTTTAATTATACAGTCTACCGACTTTTGGTAAATTTCTATTTTTTCATTTTGTTTTTTGTGAGGCTATACACAGTTTAGCGCACATGTGTTGTAAAAAAAATATATTAAATCAATCAATAAAAATTTGAATTGTCTATTAATTGATTTCAGTAACAGCAGATTAACAGATAATAAGAGATTTTTTCATATAAAATGAATAATTTTATAACTCAAGTTTTATGTTGCGATGAGGACTGCATGATTTTGTTATTTTGCGTAAAAATTTACAAATTGTGATTAGAAATTGATTTGAGAAAAAAATAAATTAACTCATCTTCCAAAGCATAATCTCAAGCTCATGATTAAAGCCTGTTCTGTCTTAATTAGCAAAAAGGAGAAATAAGAGAGCTTTTTTGTTAAAAAATTTGGCGCAACACGGTCTTTTTCTCTTGTGGCGCTTTGCCTACATTTGCAGCGTCTCTTTTTCGCACGGAGCTTCTAACCTTCGGGGAAAATTTTATTACACTTTTAATACAACTTTATGTGTTAATTCTAAAGGGAGTCGGAATAATAAATTATCCCAGTTTACTTTTAACACACGTACACGCGCGCAGAATGCTCGCTCGCGAACTGTGCGTACATTATTTAGCCCCGGCTGTTGGCAACTTAACTTTTAATGGGGCGCCGCGCTGCGTGCCCAGCTCCTCGAGACACGGTGCTTTTAATTAATTGATGATGTGTGATTGCAATGCTTAAATTTCTCTGTGCGCACACATACGCGTAAAAACGCCGGCAACACTTTTGCAGTGGAGCAAAATTTTAAATTTATATCGTCATTGTTTCAAAAAAAGGGAGCAACTTCTGTATAATTAATTGTACGCCCCTCCAGTGCGATTCTATATTGTAGGAATTGTTAAATCACTCAGAAAATCATTGCGACTCAAGCAAATTGATGGGGTTGGTTGGCGCTGCTCACCGGCGTCAAAACTCGTTTCATATAAAAACGGAGGGGGAAAAATCAGTAATTTTAGCTATTAAATCGCGTTTTATGCCTGTTTTGAAAAATCTATCTCCTCTTCATCGCCAATAAACAATCTAATTTTGCTCTATTTTAGCCATTTCTCAGAAAATTCAGAAACTTTACTAGCGAGAGTGAATTACTTCTTCGGCACTTATATTTTTCACAATTTCAAACCCTAATCTACAAAATTTAGTAGTATTTATCTCGATATATACAATAGAAATCCCGAAAAAAGCGTCAAACTTTAGCGTTTACTAAATCATCTTATTTAACATTATTACAACCATATCTCAGATAATTATGAAAATTTTCTACCCACAGTGAATTACTCCTTCAGCACTTATATTTTTCTCAATTTCGAACCCTAATCTACAAAATTTCGTAGTATTGATCACGATTTATACAATAGAAATCCCGCAAAAAGCGTCAAAATTTAGTGTTAGTTAAACCATCTTATTTAGCTCTATTACTCACTCACTCACTCGCTCACTCGCTCACTCGCTCACTCGCTCGCTCGCTCTCTTTTTATTCTAAATTAAATCAAACAACTTTTTAGCGACTTTTGTTTTGTATTTCTGCCTATTTATGAGGTGAATTTTGAGCGCGGCCAACAGCGCGGCTCTAGTCTTAACGCTGCTGACACCTGGAGGAGGAGAGATGAAATTCATGAAGCTCCAGTTGCCAGCGTCACCGCGAGATGTCAATTCTTACACCATTTTATAATACAAGATAAATTATAATTATATTATTTTGCATATGCAATAAATAGCAATACGACTAGTGACCAGTTTAATTTGATCAGTGCAGGCGTTTTTACGTAAGCTCATAATTTCTTTTGAATGTAATACTACATGCTAAAATTTATTTTCATATTCAATTTTAAAAAAATAATTAAACAGCTTTAATTATAAGTTTTTTTTATTTATTTTTTATTTTAAAATTAATTAAAACATAAATTATTTACATATATTAAATTCATATATTATTATTTAATAATTTTATAATAAAACAAGGAAGACTTGCAATCTTTTTTTATAAATAGCTGATGTCATTTATGTAAATTCAGAAGAATGTGATGAAAAGATTATAACCTAAACGTCATTGTGACTTTGAATTTCAATATTAATTCAAAATATATTCCCCTAAATATTAAAAAATTAACGTTCATTGGCTTTATGGGTTGTTATTGCTTCTTTTTGTGCATATTAGAATTTATTGTTCTTAATTTGCCTCGAGACATTCAAAATTTTGATTATTGAACTGTGCACAATGTAAAATTAAAAAGTATTTAATTCACATTTTGTCAGTGAAAAATCTCCTTCTCATTCCTTTTCACTGATTTTTTCAGATAGTTCTTAGTAAGAAGTTAAAAGTTTATTCTTTTAGTCTTTTTTTTTAGTATTCTGGCATTCTTTGAACATTGACACTTGTATGCAACATATTAATGATGCTGTAAATTGGTAATTTCCAATTTTTTATATGCGGTTTACGATATTTGTTAGACAATTTTTTATTAAGAATAATTAGGAATGACTTACATTTTGAGATAAAGATTTATAACATTTCTTATAGTGACTATTTCTTTATTAAAAGTTGCAGTGATCGCAATGACCTGAAAATTTCAGACATTATTCTTCTCGCTAAGCCAATAGTTCCAAATCTGGCTATTTTTCCTGTGCGCTTCTTTTTTCAGCAATCTTTGCGCATTTGCACAGTGAAACAATAACGCGGCGATCGCCTGCTCCGCGTCCGGCGCACCGAACATAATAGCCCATCAAATTATTGGGCTGGCAAGATGATATGGCAAATTATCTGCTCGTTGAAATTCCTGGCCAGTTTTGCGCCGGCGAGCCGCAGCCACCGTCGTCGTGACTCTCGGTCTTTGCTTACTTAATGATAGCCCCGGATAGCTGGATGAGAGATGCATGCCTTCCCTAATCATATCTCATCATCATCTCTGCTTTGGCAGACGCAAAATCATGTAATAATAACAAAGAGTCGCTCGTATCGTGATTACCAAAAGTGAAATTACGCCGCTGCCAATACAAACAACACAAAAGAGCAGCCTGCGCAATCCTACCCTTTATATTCTTTTGTATATCAGATGATGTCAAGTTAAGCAAATAACAATTCTCAATTAAATGTATACTTAATCC